AATTTTGCCTTGCATGGACAAAACAAAGGTGTAGGCTCTAAAGGTGCGTACACACAATTAGAATTTCATTCAAAGTCAACTTTAGAATGTGCCTTCAATAATCCAATAGTTAATGGGAGTAAATCAACGATCGTTTTTGACCGTAGTGATGAAAAAACAAACACAATTCTAAAAGTGAATGTGGTTTTTGTTCGGGGAAACTCCATTCATTCCAAAATCAAATGAAATTTTGAACGACATTTGTGAAGTTTCCGAAGGCATTATCCAATGGAGGACAAATGTTCGTACAACATTCTAATAGTGTATACCCAGCTTAAGGCTGTCACTTTAACTTTAGTTTCACTACCAAGTGAGTCACTGACCTAAAAAAATACGTAGCATGGAAGTTTGGACTTTTCAGACTTCTCTTGGCCCCATGCTTCATCCAGGTTAATGACTCCCTAAGAACTGAAGCCAGGTTCAGGATGATAGCAGATGGCAGAGCCTACATCTTCAAAAATGTTAGCAATGACAGCTCCCAAAGTTTTTTACTTACTCATTTATGTTAAAGAAGTCTAACTCAATATATCTAAGTGCCTCCAAGGGTCAGCAAGGATTTCTTTTCCTATTACAGAAAACTAGACCACCATTTATATGTTTCTATGTCCTTATACTGGTGGGTTTGTAGCTTTTTTTCACCCCAGAACTGTTTTCTTCCCGATACAAGTCAATGGGAATGCAAAATCAGCTTGATGAAGCTTAGAAGGAGGCCAACTGCTGGTCAAACGTACATGTCAAGTTAACAGTAATCGATCTAAGAAGCCTATCAAACAAATATTAACTGAAAGTAAGCTGTATTTGCCCATTGATCCAAGTCCAAGCCCATTGACACAGACCCCTAGGGTTCTAAGATTATAGTCACATGTACCTGCTTTGCCTCTACCTACAATCAAATCTTCAGGGATTTCTGGTGGTACACAAACCCTCCATTCTCCCCTCATAGTAAAACTCATAGATAATACAGCAAACAGCTTCCAAGTTCCAAAGCCTTTATTCCAAGTAATATCACAAAATAGCACATATCTTAACTGCTGATGCGTTTCAGCCATCTATGACCTTAATTATAGGTCATATAGCCTTTTTTATTTTAGTCGCTAAATGAAAATGAGCAGTTAACCCTTGCAGTGCATGGGTAGTTCCACTGCAAGGGTTAATAAAAACATTTCCCGGAGTTGTTCTGTAACCCCTTGAAGACCAGGGTGTTAAACTCCGTTCCTGTTCAGGCCATTTTTTAGTTTTCAGCACTGCAGTACTTTGACTGACATTTATTCCGTCATGCAACGCTGAAATTAATTTTATACCATTTTTTTGGGGACACATAGAGCTTTCTTCTGGTGGTATTTAATCACCACTGGGGGTTTTATTTTTTTAACTATATTAAGGAAAAATTACCAAACATTAAAAAAAAAACAGTTTCCCCTATTATATGTTATAAAACATTTATTATTACCCATTTTTTTTGGTAAAATATAAAAGACAGGATCACGTCGGGTAAATAGACACCAAACATATCAAGCCTTAAAATTGTGCGTGCCCGCGAAATCGCAAATAAACAAAATACCCAAAATTGCCCATAGGCGACAATTTAAAAGCTTTTACCGCCCATCAGTTTTGTGTTATCAGTGATTGATGGCCCTAAAAATATTGCTCGCACTCCAACATTCGCAGTGATATGTAACATGTGCAGCCCAATTGTCATTTTCGCATGTTGGCGCACGCGACATGTATTTACGTTTATATGTGCATATACGTGGGGGAGCTCCCCCGAAGGAGCTTGCCATGCGTCCGTTAAATTACAACGTGCGGACGGCAGATAGTTAAAGCTGTACTCCAGGCAGACAGCTAAATATACAGTTGAAATATGTGTAAATATATTCAATAAACTGCTTTACCTGCCAACAGATTTGTAATGGCATGTAGCCAGTCTTGTGACTCAGACACCCCCACCAGACAGCATAGCCAGGTCGCTGACTTGGTTTTTTTTTTCTTCTACTGTAGCCAAGCAATACAGTTAAGTCACCAACCAGCACACTAATGAGGTCACCACTCTACTCTCTCCCCCTGTAAGCATGTTCAAATAAACAATAATATACTATATTGGATGTGTTTATAGCCAAGGAGAGCAGCCCATCAAACACATCGCATCATTGGGTATTGAAAGTCAGTAATAATATCCACAAATCAGCAGTGCTCCTTGCTCTTCTTCATCACAGTACTATAAATTGATTGCACACAGTACCTGCAAGGTACTACTTTTCATGTAGGGTGTATGATCAGTTTATGGTACTGTATGTGACGAGACCGATAGAGAGGAGGAAGCACTGCTGATTTGTGGATATTAATAATGTTCAAAAGGACTCACAGCACTGTGCAAATCATTAGAGTTATTACTGGCTCAGAGTGCTGCTGTACAGGAAATTACAGCATGCTGATATTAGGACAGATGTGGGTACTCATGCTGGTTGTGACTAATGTAACATACAGAGAATTGCTTTGGAACATTCACAATGTGGGACTTTTAAGGTACATGTGTATTGCAAACATACAGTATATTCTGTTCACTATTTAATTCTAAGTGTACTAAGAACATGTACTAAGAACAAACAAATTGAACAAGGCTGATGTCTGTTCACTCAGTGTGACAGTTCGTCCTCAACAAAACCTTTGTCTGCCCATGTAGATTTGTTATTTGTCCAAATCAAACAACAAATAACATAGCCAGATAACAAAAACTCAGCTGCACATAGCCAGTGTCCATAAAATCAACATTTATTGCGATTCATTCTAGTAAAATCCAAAGTTAAGCATATACACCACCCGAACACTTCCCACACCACCACCACCTCCTACGCTGTTTCACCACCTGGGCTTAATCACCTCTATGATCAAGCCCAGGTGTTGAAACGTGTAGAAGATGGTGGTGTGTGAAGAGTGTTCTGGTGGTATATATGCTGGACTTTGGATTTTACCAATACCGTGTTTCCCTGAAAATAAGACACTGTCTTATATTCCCCCCCCCCCCCCCCCCCCAAAAAAAAAAAAAAAAACACACTAGGTCTTATTTTCGGGGGATGTCTTCTTTTTTTTGATGTGCAACAAAATGAAAAAAATACTGTCACACACAGTGTCACAGTACCTGCAGGCTGCAGCTGTCCTGGAGCTCTCCTCTCTGATGCCGTCCAGGGAGCCACCTCGTCGCACGGACCTCCAGTCAGAAGTTCCCTCACCTCACCTGACCTCACTCTGACCCCACTGGCCATGCCGCGCTCTGCCGCTGCCTGCTGGGAAATGTAGTTTTCTGCCCGGCGGCAGCACTCTAAGCAAAAGCCGAGGCAGGCGGGCGGGAGCTGCGGTGCGGTGCGGCGGTCAGTCCCCGCCGTGTATGGATGAAATGTTTAGCGGTCCTTGACATGTTTTATACATGCAGACTTTAGGAGACCAGCTGCTCATATAATTGAATGTTACTCTCGGACCCCTGGCTGGTTGCTTGGATGCAGCAATACATGTGCGCCCCCTACCACCGAACTAGGTCTTATTTTCGGGGTAGGTCTTATATTACAGAAATCCCTGAAGATAGTGCTAGGTCTTACTTTCAGGGTAGGTCCTATTTTCGGGGAAAATAAACGTTGATTTTATGGACACTGGCTATGTGCGGCTGATTTTGGAGAACATATAACATAGATCTTAATATTTCAATATACAAAATTCATAGATGGGGAGAGGGTCACTTCTCAACGCGTTTCAAGAATCAAGGGTCCACTTCTTCAAGAGGATAAGGAGATAAGAGGCATCTACAATGCATACAAATATATATGAGCATTATAACCATAACTGTATACAATATTAAACTCTTGATGAGTAACCATTACCACTTAATACTTACATAGAATTGTCAACGGCATTGCCTAAATCTGCAATAAAACATAATGTAAAATAAATTAAATAATTTTAATGAATACCTAACTACATTTAACGGTGTGTTTTATGTGCCTGGAGTTCAGCCGTCAAATGTACACGTTATCATCTTCATAGAATTCGTGTACCAGTTTTAGCGCCTGTGGGGGTTGTGTTTTTTTTTTTTAAATAAAAAAATAACTGGTTTAAATAGCATTTTCTGCCTAGAGTTCTACTTTTAGTAGTGTCATACACAGTTACTGGAAGAAAAAAAAGATTAGTGAGTAATGATATATTAAATAGCAAAGCAGCAATGATTCACTTTTAGGTGCCACGGTATTGCGGATCTTACTGAATAACAAATAATATAAAAAAGTGAAGTATAATACTATATATATATATATACGCTGTATAATATTATATAATAAAAGCTATGTATAGTTTGTAGGCAGGCAGTTTTTGTTCCTGTGATGGATCATCAGTTTGTATTAGCAGTCTTTCCTAGGTAGACAGTTGGTCGGTGTAGTGGACAAGCATCTAATGAAAATGTCAAGACAGAGGGCTAACTTGGTTAAGTTCTGGAAGGACCACAGATCTGGTCAGAGGTGAAAGGGGGCAGTAAACAGCTATTCTCTCTGATGGT